GCAAATGGGGTTGCATGTCATCTCCAAAGCCATGTAAATACGGAGTAAGTACATACGATGTTAGTCTGCAAGGATTAACATACAGGCAAGCATTAAATCAGTTTCAGAACTCTGTCCTATGATACTAAGAGAATCCTTGAACATTTCTACAGGAACTCTGTATCCAAAAACCACACTGAGAACTTCTCAGAAAATGCTGCATATTAGAAGAACCGAACATTTGGATTTGCTTTGCTTCATCATTTCCAGGTATTAAATTTGTCAGTTATTTCAGTGAGAAGGAAAGAAATTAAAAACAACAGAAATGTTTTAAAAGTCAAACCATTTCATCTCAAGCTTATAATGTGACATATTTTCAGTGTAAAATAAAAATCCAAAAAACCCACCAAAGTCCTGTGTGAATATCATGCTGGTGGCACACACACTCCACATATTTTATAACTGGTTCAAGGATGTTTGGCTTTTCCTGTAAAATACTGATTAGCTTTTACATAAGCAGGATGTACCATTAGTTGTGTCCACCTAATAAAGGTCAGAAAACATCAGTGTCAAAAGAAGATAGAAAAACCCCTAGAAAATACATTTCTCACCTACCTTTAACCTTTCTTGTTGATATTGATTATTACAAAGAGAATCAGACTTCTATTTCTGCAGATTTTAAAAGGCTTGCAGGTCATTTACGATTACCCTTTAACACTACGTTAACAAAGGCATTGGTAAAAAGGAAATGACTGCTACTGTCTTTGGATCATGCTATTCCTTAGTGTGAAATAGGCAATTGAAGTCACTGAAAGCAGAACACATACAAAAACCTGATTCATTATTTTTGTTTACAATTCCAAGTTACTATCTCTTCCTCGGTTTTCATTAAGGTCCCTTAGGAACTGGGGGAAAAAGTGACATTCTACTGCCTGAGCAGGCTGCTCTTAGCAGCAGACTGACCATCACATCATTTCAATATTCAAGTTATTTGTGACTATTTTGAAGAAGATGAAAGAAATTATTGACACATTTTCATGTGACTCTGTCTAAATGAAAGTCACTAGAATTAGAAATGTCTCATAAAACTGAACTTAGGATAATACGAGCAAATGGATCATTAATATGCAGTATCAGATCCATCTGATCAGTAGTTAGAAAATTTTGAGGTAGAACTGGGATAGTTTTATATCTCCACAAGTTCATGCAGCTCCATTAGAGCAGATATAACTTGATACAACTCAATTACAGCATTTTCACACAGTATTATATATTTGCACTTAATTTTTTTAACAAAGTACAGACAATCTAGTTTTCTAAGCAAACTTGGGTCTTCTTTCTCACAAGAAAAATGGTGACTAAATTGTCTGCAGTTCTCTAGGAAAGAGCCATGCTTTCAGAAGTGCTCATTCAGTCAGAAGGATATAAAGATAGAACAACTTAAAGATTTGTAGGAAGACTTAGGATTTAGCATCAACATAACTTGAAGAAAAGAGACTGATGTTTTTGATTCTAGTCCTCTCACTGGTTGTCCTTGCATACCTTTTTAACAGGCAGCTGTCTCTACAGCTGCAACTTCCTATTGCCTGTTACTTTTTCTCTCTCCTACTTGCAAACATCAATCTAATATAACAAAAAATGCTCAGAAGCTTTGTCCACTGATTTGTCTCTTTTTTTTTGGTAAAAAATAACAACATTCCCTTAATTCTTCAAAACAGTGAGATGAGACTTTCAACCTGTATTTCCTAACACTTCGTATTTCCTCTCTTCCACTTCTCAGTGGCCTCAGGGTTTTTCACAGTGATCTAAGATCACTAAGAAAAGTCAGCTAACAGCTTGGTTTAAACTAACCTAATTTACTGCATTCAGTCCACAGGAGTGCCATGAGGCATTATAATACTTCTTGTTCCTTCTCAGGATTTGCAAATTTTGCATAAGAAAATAGCCTGAGAAAATGGAGATAAAACCCTAAATCTGAGTATATTTTCTCATAGAATCCTCTATTCTTACATATTATTTGTTGTTAGCAAACCATAGGCATGTTAATACAGTTCTACTGAACAGCATCCTGCCTTTTTTGCAGATATTCAGACAGAGGATTAATAGGGGTTTAAGGCAGCAATTTCATGTACATACTGAACTTAGTATTTCATCTCTCAAAATTAGGCAAGTAAGTACTAAGTATCTGAAGGTACTATACATTTGTGGGGACACTTCTGAAAGCTCATCTGTGTATTACACCAATATTGCCTGGAAAAGTCCAATGCACACTAAAAGATCAACCTCCTCAAATAGGTCACAGCAGCAAGGATCTGAATTACAGAAATCTGGGGGGTTTTGGTCTCAGTTCAACAGTTCTTCCTCTCTTGTCTAGATAACTCATCTTGCAAACAATGCATGATAAAATACTGTGCCTCTAAATATTTAGCATTATTGTTCTCTAAATTCCGTGTTAAAAAATACCTGTTTATTGACTGCTTTCCCAGTTAATTCTATAGATATTTTTCCCAGAAATTGCTGGATATTATCACATTGAAATCTGTTTTAAGTATTCTTAGCAGCAGACTAAGGCAACAACTAATATCATTACTTAAGGATTACTTGAGTGTCTGTAACCACAAACCAAGCATTTTGCTGGACTTTAAAAGCACTTTTCAATCCAGAAAACAACTACAGTAACTCTCTGTAGCATGCCAGCTCTTGCATTGGACAGAATTGTGGTAAATCATTATTTTACAGGTGTTGGTTACAGCTGCATTGCCAAAGTGCAAATGTATTTCATACTTCAAGAAGGTACTTCAGAAGGTACAACAATAATAACATTATAACAACAACAGCAATAATAATAAACAACACTAAACAAAAAAGTCCATAATTCCCAACCCTTTGCAATTACTTTCAGTGTTGGCTGAATAAACTCTTTTCATGGAGTTCATGGATAAACCTGTTAAGTAATTTATGAGTTAAGATAAGCTTGAAAAGAAAAGAGGTTCTTCAGGAAATTTAAAAAGAGTCAGTCTTCATCAAAAATAAAGCTCACTACTAAGATTCAGAGGCTTCAGGCTTTCTACACAGCCAACATTACTTTAAATGTCTAAATAATTTAAAAAAATGTTATAATAAACATGTTAGCTGTTATGTCATTGCTAATATATGCTGCTTCTCTCATCAAATTCTAATACTCCATGGACAGATAAAACTCTGGCAAGATGAGCTCTCTTCAAGAGGGATCACTTTCATGGCTGAGATAGCTACTTTACTACTTAGCTAATTTTAATGCAATTATTTTGTTAGCTTTGACCTGGGATGCAGTTTCCCAAATGCTGAAAGCTCATTTCAAGTCTCTGCAGCCAGACATTCCTTTTCCTCCTCCTGTTAGCACCCTTTCCATTTCTTATGCTATCACTATGCTTGGGAGCAAAATGCTTGGCTGAAGGGAAGGCAAGATCTCAATTTCTGACAGCATCATAGACTTACACTGGCTTTGGCCAAGCAAAACATGTATCATGACTACAATGATGATCAGGCACTCGCACACCAAGTGTTAATGGCAAAACATAGGGCTCAAGTGCAATTGCCCTAGGGATTCAAAGGTCATCCATTTGGACATAAGCAACTGAAAGCATTCTAGTAATAGCATCCCCCTCACAACATTATATACAATGTTCCACTCTATTTATGCTATGTCTCTACGTTTAAGAACAGAAAGAATTTTGCACAAGTAGCAGTGAACATTATACAGTGAGAAGTTTATTAGCCTTCTTTCCTTTATCTAGGGCAACTTCGGTTCTGGAAAAGCAAGCTCTGGGGTGAAATTTGTTTTTTGCTGCTTTGCTGGAGATGCTATCCCCTTTCTTCACAAATGAGTCTAGCAGCAGACATGCTGGGTACAGGACCACCTTGCTCATCCTCAGCATCCTCCCTCCCATACATGCAGTCACCACTGTATATATTGTAATTCCACCACTCAGTCTTTCTACTTCTCCCACTCCTCCTTCTCTTCTACAGTTGTCAGAGACTGCTTAGAATGACAAAGAGCAACAGGAGGAAAAAAGTGGTGAGTGTAGAAAGGGAACCCTGTTGACTTGCTGCCACAAGCACGTGTTTTTGTGCATTTAAAATCAACACAATTGGTACAAGAACAGTATTCCTGTATTTTGCAAGTTATTCTGTGAAAACATGTGATTAAGCAAATGACCTTGCTAAGCTTGAAGACCATATTTCCTGCTTCTTTTTAAACACATTTTTACGATTAATAAGCCCTTCTAATTATTGGTGCAAACAAAAGAAAATAGCCATTTTGTTCCTTTGTCACAATCCAAAAATTCTTGAGGGAGACAGAAAAGAGAAGTCTGTGTAATGCTAAAATCAAGCTTTAAGTTAACAGTCAGCACAAGATCGCTCTTGCATAAGTAAGGTATTATCACTAATATAAAGTAAAAATATTACTGTTTTTTCCACTTACTTCTCTCCTATCCTTGAGCTTTTCATTTTCAGATTATAGTTATAAAAGAGCCATTGTAATCTGGCTGACAGCAGAATCAGTTACACATTATATAAAAACATAATGTAAGAAATAATACAAACATTGCACACCTGCATATCCACTGACTATACAAACCCAAGAACATTCAGAATAAAGACTGCTAACTAGTGTTGAAACGGGAATATCGTGCAAGAATCTCAGGCCATGACAGTCAGATACAGTGACTAACAATAACAAGTGCAGAGCAACAGCCTTACCACTTCTTTTTGATGACTTTATCTTAAATCTTTCTACAGAATGTGTTATATATAATGTACTTCCCTTTGACATAGCAGTATGAGAAAGAATACAGTTCTTTCATGCATTCAGCTCTTTGGGACACAAATCACAGAAGTAAGAAGATTGTCTAAGGGACAGACATGTCATTGCCCATCATCTAACACTGAATTGGCTCCACGGAAAAATCTGCTTTCGACAAATAGGAAGTTTATAGGAAACAAAAAACCCAACAAGAAAACAATAAAAAAATACTCACAGCTTTGGTTTGGCAAGCACAGGTGGTGGCTCCTTTGTGGGTGAAAGCAAGACAGCTGGAGGTGGGATGGATTTATCACCATTTGGCTTGCTGTTAATCATTCCATTTACTCCATGAATGGGATGGACACCATTTGTTTTTTCCTCAGACGAATTCAGCTGCAGTTGATGGGCTGTCCCACCAGATCTCAACTCGGTGTTGTTTGCTTGATGAGTCTCTGTATGTTTCTTAGGAGGAAGCTCAATAGAGCTAATTTCAACTGGAGGAAGTGGTGGGAAATGATGGAAATTATCACTGTTGGATTCTCTTGCCAGTGATTCATGAGTAGAGTTTTCTGAGTTGGCTAAAAGGAATCAGAAACAATGTGTCTCTGACAAGTCATAGACAATGTACACGGTACATGGCACAAGCTGCATTTTCAGCTTGTTAAAGGTGAGATCTCTTTGGCTCTGTGTGAACATTTTTCTAGATCTCCCATTGCTAATTTATGCTGAATTAGACACAACTGGCTATTCATTTTCTGACTTTGCCCCATGCAAAGGGACAATACATACACAATAAGGGACCTTATGGATCCCTCCAAATCTATTTCTGGAATCCAGCCACTAAGTGAGATTGGCAAGTACTGACAACAGCAGCTGAAACAGCATTTCCTCTTCCTGGAGTCTCAGCATCATTTAAGAACAAATAATCTAAAAATACTGAAGGATGTATGTATACATGGCATGTTTGCAATGGCAGCCGGGTGAGTGCATTCCACCGCAATATGTATGTAAACATGTTACAAAACTAAACATATCATCTCACAGTTTTCTATTTTACAAAAGGCGTATTCCGCCTTTGGTAGCATAATTTCATCTGCCTTCATTCTGCCTCTGCTACCATCTAGTCTCAGAACCTTACTGCTTAAAAACATCGGGCTTGTGGCAGGCACTTCAAAATTTTTTTTACATGAATAAAGATATTAAACTAGGAAATGGGCCAATAAAAACCCCTGTCTTACAGCAGCCCTTTCCTACGAGGGAAGCAGACTGATAACTTCACAGGTAAATTAATTACCTAAGATCTATGATTATAAATGCTTCTTTCCCTTTGTCACGTACCTGAGCAGACAGTTAGTTGTGCACTGCTTGTTACTGAACCATGTTCGTTTGTTGCTGTGCATGTGAAAAGTCCTGAATCTTCAGGAAAAGTTTCTGCAATTACAAGGGTACATATCTCTTCTGGAAATAAACAGAAAAATAAACTTCATCATAAACTATTTAAAGCACAATGTAATGTTTTTGCATTTATGTTAGAGGACACCAGAAAATGCTCCTTATACAAAGAAATGCTGGGAGGACTGCAGAAGAGCTTCCAGCATAAATGGCGTTAATGAAAATCCTTTTATATAAAAAAAAAAAGTAAGTGATTTCCACAAGCTGTTTTCAAAGTGGCCGCTCTTGAACAGTGATTCTGCAGTCACAAGTCTGTGCAGTCATTTTACACACTCAGCGTCTTCATTTTTATGCAGGATAGAACTAATTCATAAGCATCAATGTATTGGTTTTCATACACAATACTTGCAAGCTCTTTTTGGCCCTCTAAAACCATCAAAAAGAATGTCATGTTATTCGTTCTTTCCTGGAAGTTTTCTGTATTTAATGCAACATTTCAGATCAAATCCCATTCGCAATAAAACCAGAAAGCACTTTGTTATCACTTCCAGTTAGCTTTCCTGTGTAAACTTCCCAGAATTACAAACTATGGATGCATAAATATTCCCCTAATTTGGTAAGAGAATTTCCATCTCTGCACAGCAGTGAGAATAGATAAATTGAAAATATAGGACAAACCAGCATCCCCAGACACTGTTCAGAATGTTGTGACATAGATGTATTCTGTGGCTGTTTGAAATATCTTCATTCTACTTTGGTATGTCACAGTATGTGCTTTGATTATACCAGGGCCTCAGTCAGAAAGCTTACATGAAGGCTGGACTGTTCATATTTCAGGTTGGGTCTCTCAGTAATGTTTTCTAAATGAATCCCATCCATCCATAATGCACATATTTAATTATCCAGGCATTTCTTTTTCAGATTCTTCTAAGGAGTCACTTCATTTTATCTCTACTTGTAATAGTATTTAATATATATATAAAAAAATAAAATCACAGTATAGCCTATCTAAATAATCCTAACATTCACACAACACACCTAGATATTTTTAGACCTGGACTATGCTGCATCGTGGGTTTCCTTAATTAATTAGGAGATTCTTTCGCTTATGCTCATTTTCTAATCTCAAAACCAATGCAGAGAAGTTTTACAGAATTCAGTTTCATTAAAAAAATGGATATTTACATGGAATCCTGCATATCACAAAATCAGTGGAATATAGCTGATAAAACAAACTGAGAAGTGAGGAAAAATACTTCAGTCTCCAATACATCTTGCATGAAAATTATTCTGTAGTAGAGGTTCAGTAAAGTAAGCTTCAAGTCTTCTAGTTCAAAGAAGGAAAACATTCTCTAATAGTTTTGGGGGTTTTGTTTTGTTGTTTTGGTTTTTTGTTTAATTCTTTTCTCTTCCCTAATTTCCACTGTGGAATAGCAGACCGCTCTCTCCTTTACACAGTTAAAAAAAAGTTAAGGAATTTTTCCAATTAGAAATGACAATGTATCCAAAAACTCCCAGTACTGGAAATGGGCTAAAAATGAATGACTAATATTTGGCACAGAGCTGTTTTTCAGACAGCAGAACACGGGGGGTTTTTTTGGCAACACAAACCAGTCACTCTGTGTAACTGCAGGAGGCATGTATGGTAACACTGTAGCACGTTATCTGACCCAGATGAAGATTAATGACTCATGAAAGGTCTTATCAGGAAAGTAATGGGTAACACAAGCTAGTTTTTGAACTACTGAGATCAGCTTTTTTTAGAGTCTTGGTGTGTCATAAGCAGTTGAAGCTCTATTGTTAACCACACGTGCCTACTCCTGGATTGAACTGACTCTGGGGATGCAATCTGATACATGCAGCATACTAGTTTCCTGTTCATTTAACAGCAGAATTCTAAAAGCTGGCTGTTTCAGGTTTGCAAAGGAAAATCACTCCCACCATGCTGAGATCTGCTGTTTGAATGAGGGCAAAGATACTATGAAATATACCAGCAGAATACAAAATACCAGCAGAAGTCCTGTTTTCCAAGCAGCTGAGCTCATTAATGCATAATGTTCTTCCATTTCTTTAAGTATGTAAAAAAAAATCACATGAGAAAAGCTGATCTTCACTCTTCAGTGATACAAGAATTCTAATGGACTCTGCCCTGATGCGGTTTGTTTATGGAAGCAGCATATTTGTAAATTATACATGGTAAATTGCAGTAATCCTTGTAACAAAAATTGAAAGTAAATTAGTGATGAGACTAATCAGAGTTTAAAACTCAGTCTTCTCAGCCAGATGAGCAAACTACTACACATTTGTGATTAATCACGAGAAAACTGGCTAAACTGAAAATAGGAAAAAAAACCCCTAAGAACTAATCAAGAGGCGGCTTGGGCAAAAAGCATGTGCAAACAACACATTGCCATTGTCTTTATTCATTTTTCTTCCCCCAAACCAAGAATCACGAACCTCCAGGTGCTTGACAAAAGGCTAACTACAATGAAAAGCATGGAAATAAAGCAGTAATTTGACAAAAGAAACATTCTTTAAAGATTTCCATAATACATTCTGGATACACAGTGCTCTGAGTATTTTTCTAGCTTTACGTCCTGACTTTTGTAATTATTTTTCTTTCTGTTCCTGTGAAGTAGAATCTGATGATGTGAAGTAAATAACGTCTGTTCTACTTCCTGGCAATCACCAGCTGACAAATAATTTCATCACAAAAATGTGTTCCAGAAAGCAGCTCTGCAATCCTGTTCTCAGGGCCTTAAAACATATTTAACACTTGACTAAATGAATACAAAAGCACTCTGTTCACTGAAACATGTAAAATGCTTAGGCATGCAATTACTTGACTATTTTGTCAGTTATCTAGAAAGAAAGATTACATTTTATGCAGTAATCCTCTCCCTTTATGGTTCATGAGTCCATTAAGAAGAATTATCTTTGGTAAGACAGAAAACCTTTGCATTTTAACAAATTTCATCTCTGGTGATGTGTTTACTTCAGAATGTTTCTATGTACTAAATTGAAAGTTGTTGAGTAGTTGTTATATTTGCACCTGCATCTCCAAATGTGATCATTAGCTTCCTCCACTGTAATGCACATACAGCCCTGGGAAGTAAGTATGGTCTTTAATTAATAGTTGTTCATTAGGATTCAAGGACCAGAGCTATTTCTATAGCTGCAGGTTCAAAGCTGTAAGTTTTCTGCTACACCAAGACACGTGTTAGTCAGAGTGGTGGCTTCCTGGTAAAAATCCAACCAAACACAACCCTGCCATCTTGTAGACAACTTGTCTCTTGTTCTCCCTCTTGTTCCCCTAGTCATCAGATGTTTAACTACAGCTTAACAGCAAAGCAAGTTACCATCAGGTAACTTCCCATTTAGGTATCTGTGCATCTTTTATATACATAAGAATGAGGAAGTGTGAAAATAGAGTAGAATTGAATATGCAGAGTAGCATAATAGATGGCATTGCAGACCTGTAGATACCTTAACTTGCAATAACACAATGAAAAAAGTATTTAATTTACCTGTTCCTGATGATCATTACTGTATACAACTTTACCCAGTCAGGCAGCAGTTCTGGCTTATTTAATAGGCTTCATGCCACTCAAGAAATGAAGAGACAAATTTTAAAAAAGTATACAGAACCTCCTATGCTTGAAGATACCTCAAACAGCACTTGTAAAACACTTCTTAGAACAAAACTGAACAACAGCAAATTTGGTTCTGGGCAATACAATGCAGTTTCAGGGTACGGAACTCAGGTTACAGCAAATGTAATGAACACCCAAGAAGGCTGCTAACTAGCCAGTTCAGGTACAGTGAATGGGAATACATGATGGTACAATATGATACAATAATGACAGCATGGACTTCAGTACCTGAAGCAGTGTTCATGTTTGAGGAGAAATTAAGCTATTTATCAGGGTGCAGGAAGAGCTTATGGTAACGCAGTTATGATGATGTAGATGCCTAAGCCAGCTAGTCTGAAGTCAGGTGTATGAATTGAAGCTGAAATCAACATATTCAGCAGTGTGACTGTGATGATTAATGTACTCCCCTAAGCTTTGAATATTTACAACTGAAGATGAAAAGCAGCATTTTTTAAAAATCAAACAGTGCAAAATCAGAGATTTGCTTTGAATTTGGAAGCATCAACAAGCAAGGAAAGTTGTTGTAGTCAGACTTAAAAGGGGTCCCTGAGAGGATAAGAATTCTGTAGCTCAGAAGTGCAGAGTACAACTGAGAATGAGAAGCAATAGCACATAGGTTGATCAGACCACCTTTAATGAAAGATAATACTAGTTTATTTTCAGTTTTTCTCTCCATTTGGCATCTTGAACTATAGCTCATTGGAGATCGCTATCGTCAAGCCCTTCTTTGCTGCCCAGTAATGAAAGAAAGAGATAGATTCTTAGTCATAATTCTTTTGTTTTCACTAGAAAATGCAATGATCCAACATGCACGCTGACATACTGAAGTTTCTGTGTTTTGAATCTCATCATCTATCAAAAAGCTGACTTTCTTGGTGTGAGGGGGCAGTAAGGATTTCTGTAACATTTGCCATGTATCTTTTGTTTCCAATATGCAGAAATACGGGGGAATTTCTAACGGACTTACACAGCACTTCCTTACACTTACTGGAACACAGCAGCCAAACAGGGAACAAGAAAGCACAATCCAAGAGAAGTGGTGGCTATCTTTTGAGATGTTTTTGGTGAGCATACATAGTATTGTGCTTAGGAAAATAAAGCATATATATGTGGCAATTCCCTGGCAATTTAAGAAAAATTACTTCATATAATTTTCTTCTTACATTAGACATTTCTTCTTACATTAGACAATTGTTTTAATGTAATTCAATCCAGTTTGTGGCTGCCTCCAGACAGCTGAGTAATGGTCAAAATATCAACAGCTGGCAAATGACTCAATGGGATTTTTCATTCTCAGGCAGCCTGTTCTTTGAAGGATTCAGTCAGTATAAAATCAAAAAGAAGTACAGAGCAGGTAATTTGACAAACTGTGATGTTGGCTTTATGTAATCTGACTAGCTATTAATTCACAAA